GAATAGGCCTGCAATACGCGACGAAGAGCACTGATCCCTTCCTCAGACTGGTACCCAGCATACTCAGGAAGACTGCGGTGGAGATCTTTCTCTATATCTTCAAAGCTCGTGCTATGCTTGCCCTTGATATCCTCGACAAGCTGGTCGTACAAACCAGGACTTGTATACCGAAGATAGAGAGAACCGGACAGTGTTTCCCAGATCTCGCCACGAAGGCGATTGGGCAACCCAACCTGGACGAGACGCGTACATTGGGGGTATCTCAATAATGTAAGGTTTCGACCATGCGCTAATTCAAATGTTATCGAAAGAGCAGACAAGCGCGAAGTAATACTTACTCCGTAGGTATGACGTCCAGAGCTTGATTTTTGAGGCCTCCCGCAGTCTAGGTGTCCTCAGTGATGTAACAATACATGGCGGGGAGAAGCTCACTTCTTCGGGTCACCAGGAAATCTGAACCTGAGACCAAGGCCTCCAAGGTACTCGATCTCTGGAAGCGGAGATCCTTCCTTAGTCTCTGTAATTAAACTTCCATCTTCTCTTTCGTTCTCGGCCACTGAAGACGTCGTTGATATGAGTGCTTCTGAGTAACAAGTTTTTACGAATCCTTTGACGGCTTTCATCTGTCCGCGCTGAAGTTCTGCTTTCAATGCCTCACGCAAGATAGCGCAGAATGCGTCCGCTGTTGGCCGTAGGGATGTCAGCTGGATGATCTGCCCAGCAATGTCAGCTTTCCTCATGACTCTTCACTGTGACTCACGATCTTCATGCCATGCCAGGTTGATAAACTTAGCGCATAGACACCAGCACGAGCATTGAGTCGTTCCACGCGTCGCACGGTCGACAAAGGTATGGTGAAGCGGACTGATTTACGGTCTAATGAGGAGAACGCCAGGTATGCGGGAATGAGATACAATTTCCCCGCCTGAACACGGAGTATTCTGTCACATTTCCTCAAACGCGGTGATAGAAAACTCACATATGAATCTTCCACTCCTTGTTCACCTAGACTGAGTACTGCATTGATCTCCATCTTCTCGAGTTCGCCTGAGCTAGACTTCTCGCCATCTTTGGCTCGTGGTGCAACTGACACCTCAGGTATCGAGAAGAAGATATGGAGGAGCTGATCTCTCGTAGGCTCCTTGAAATTGCGCAGCTGGGTTGATATCGTGGACATGATGCTCAATGTCGACCTCCTGGACTCGGGTGATCACTGATCACGTTCCCAGCGAGGTTATGGCGTCCGGAGGTGCTGGTTCTTGGAGATGCCTGGACGCCAGTTCCAAGATATGTGGAACAGGCCGTGATGTGGAGTAGTAAAGTTGTGTAGCGTGCTATGTTGCGATCACACGGGCAGTGTTTTGGCGCTGGACGTGAAGCACATCAGCCTCATGCAGTGCTATTCCAAATGAGGCCGCTTGCTCCGACTCTCACTTCAATTTAGAGTGACGATTCCTCTCTAGTGCCTCCATGTAAGACTACAATATCAAGAATTCACTTTTACGCCGATTTCTCTTTCAAAGGAATTGTCCAAATGAACAGAATACCTGAACGTCGTCCACTCCCTAGAATACTAATCCTGGTACCTTCCAAGGACCTGATCACCGCTGGCTTGGTTTGGGACTACTACAATCTATCATCGACGATATCAATGACTTCCTCGACTGTCGACAACCATACCATGCGTCATCAAGCATCGTGCTTCATTACCAGGATCTGTTGCTTTCCGGTGGCAGACCGTCCGCTATACAAAGCATACATATCACAGAGAAGACGGTCTTTTCCAAGAATATACCCTTCAATGGTCCTGACCACTGGTAAATCATCGCGGAAGCGGGGGCATTTCAAGTTCGAGGATTGAGACAAACGAACGCTCGAAATATAACGTGGTCAAAATTCGGGCCTGTTCTTGTGGCTAACCGGTGGAACTGACATCGGGAAACTGAACGGCGAAGCCATGTGTGGAGTGCACGCCTTCGACGATCAAGCTTGCAAGCATGCATACACGACACCAGACAACACTACTGTAATCGAGACTACACCCGAGCAGTTTGAGCCACGTACTACCAGGTTGTGATATCAATGGGCCCAACTATCGAGAACCCCCGTAGTCCTTGAGGCAGTGAGGTTGATCGTCTATCGCTAGATATGTACATATTAGTTGGTGAGTCCTTCGGTTACCAGTATACATGTCTGATCAGGCAAGGATCGTCTGATCGTCTGTACGTCGTTACCAGAACCTGTTCGTGTCAGCTTCGAAGCCATGGATCATACGAAGCATAACGACGTTAGATGTCAAACTTGACCACTGTTCCCATCGAATTCAGCTTTTCACGAACGTATTGGAATGAATGAACTTACCCCATTACCAATTAATACCTGAGCTCTCTGCGCAACATACATGTCCAACGCCTGTGCGACGAACTTTTGCTCCCAAGTAAGTTTCAGGTCACGGCTACTGCCCACATGCTCCCAATCCATATCGAGTGCGAGCGTGGCTTTGAGTTCCTCGACCCATGGTATGGCGCCATTCGTCATGATGTACAGATATCTGAGGTTTTCCGTGGCTCCCATACGAACTTGTCGAACCTTATCGACAATCTGTTCGATAGACGGGTAGCATCGCTGGACATATAAATCAATGTTCTTCTGCGAAGTCTCCCCGCTGCCGTCATCGGGAGGTGGATCGAACTTGTCATGGAACTCAGGGAAAGAATTGAACGCGTTCCAATTTGCGGACCACTGGGCAAGGTTCTGACAGTGGTCTTTGAAGTCTCCCCGACGAATGTGAATAGCCAGAAGCCCGGGGATGGGTGCCGTCATGTTTTCTTTTTCAGGGAAGAAAAATCCCGCAAAAAGACCGGATTTTGTTGGCTGGAAAAGATGTCGGTTTTTCCTGTAGGCATCGTGGATGAGCGGTGACCATCCCCAGTGTGTAGCCACAGGCGAGTTGACTAGATAGGGCCAAATAGTCAACATCCTCTCTTTATTGCCAAATATCCTATTTTCAATCCGAATAGCCAAAGTCAGAATATTATGAAACGTTCCTAAGAGCGCCCTACTTACCAAAACTCAAAGACCTGATTGTTACTCGGGTCTAGCATGAGGCATGGGTCCTCAACCGAGTTGATCTTTTCAACCCATTTTTCAAAGACGTAGGCAGCATCATCGTTGAATCTCATTTGGTCGGTGTTAACGTCCGGCACTTGTATGACTGTGGGGTTTGGGCAGACGTGATGGAAGAAATCTTTGGAGACTGAGCGGGGGGTGTCGTCACCTGGCGGCATTGAACCGCCAACCATCGGTCCTGTAGGGGCGATTTTAACAAAAAATACACTTACAATCAGATACCACACTCACCGCTCAGGAGTGCCGATAGAGGAATGCGGGAGGGGATAAGCTTTCCGTTATAGTCCGTGTAAAGTGAGCCGTCTGGGTTCCAGACGTAATCATCGAACACGAAGCTTAATGTCCACACCATGAAAAGTCAGACAAAGTGCAAATTCATGGAAGAGAGAATGATGATGAACAAGCCTGAAATACTGACGATCGATTTGTGGCATGGGCGAGCAAACCCATCATGATAAGATCCTGCATGATGTTCCCCCATCCTGAACCTTTGAAGGAGATAAAAAGTCAATAGTGAGCCGGAACGTCCTACATCTTCAAAGCTCGACCACTCTTACTATGTGCGTGGTTCGCCGCAAAGAAGTATTTGATACTCTGGTGTTGGTATTCTTTGTAGTGAGATAGACGCTGCTCTTCTGCCCGTACGTTCTCATACAAAGGAGGAAGGCGATGCCGATGGGTGTAAGTGTAAGTGAGAACACCGATGGCAGCGAGCATTGCGAGGATTAGATATCGGAATCCTCGTCTTGTAAGGCCGCGCCATGCCATTGGAGAAGGCGAAGGGGTTCGTGGGGACGTGAAGGGAAGAGAGTGACCATCCGATGATGACCTGTGCTTTCTTTTGAAGGACGGCACGGCCATGTTGGTAGTGATTGGTGCCGTCAGTCAGCAGCAAGAAGTGACTGTGGGGCACTAGAACAGCCAAGAAGAGAGTCAGTCGAGGGAGTCCTCACAAACCAATCCACACTTGTCTGAATCTTTGTGAACTGCGCCGGTAATACAAATGAAGGGTGAAAGGCGTGAGGCATGGTCCATATCGGACCAGGTAGGTAGCCATTATAACACATAAGTATGCACAAATGAGGATACTTGATTGAATCTAAACTTCTTTTGTTTGTTTTGCTCCAATTCCAAACATAAATCTCGAATTTCGCATCACGTAGATAAGGACTTAAAGCGCACCTAACAATAATATTACGCCAAGGTATCAACCTTCGCATTTTAGAAAACGTAGTCCACCTCAGCAGCTGCTGGAGGCGCATCTGAGGAACGAAGTTGGCATGGAAAGATTTACATGGTCATTGCATACATCGTCTCACACTGCCGAACGTTTCTTTCACGGCCGTGTCCAAAATTGTCCAAAATTATCCCTGCTGTAAGACCTGGAGGGTGCTTATGTAAACATTCTGACCCGAGCAGTGACTACTAGTAGCACCCCGCGACCCGTTAGTTCCATGAGGTCGACTTTTACATTGGTTCATCGAGGTCTTCGCAATCGAGAATGTGCAACTGACAGTCTGAGTTACTTAGTTGTGCTTGTTAGACGGTAGAAAAACCTGACATGCTGGGAAAGCCCAACAGAAACGAGTCATTGTCATTCCGGGCCGTAATTTAATTCCACTGCCCTTAAGTTTCGGAAACAATTTGCTGAGAAGTGGGTACGTAAATACAATGTACAGTAAATCACAGCGGCGGCTTGATGAGTCGCTTCGCGAAGAAGTGGAAACCGAGGAAGAAAACAAAGGAAGCCTGAGGGGTTTTTGGAGGTACAGTACTAGTACCACCCGCGTGGGCTGCCATGGACTAGCCTGTTATTAGCTAACGCAGAACATGACCAGGGTCATGCTTCTTTGCGAACTGCGGGTATCAACGGCCGACTAGCTCAGTTGGTTAGAGCGTCGTGCTAATACAAGGGATTTACCCCTGTTGTACGCGAAGGTCTTGGGTTCGATCCCCACGTTGGCCAAATATTTTTTATTCCTCTCTCACATCCAGGACAAGGGGAAATTCCCTTATTTGGACTCGAGGGATTTCATACCAGTCTGGCCAAAAGTGCCGCTAACACCGTATGTCACGACGAGGCTTGTGTGTTCAACGTTCAGCATCCAGACGCATTGAAAGCCGTTCTCGTTGTCGTCCCCGACATCGACCATCAATTGTTCGACACCATCCCAACTATCGCCATCGTTGCTGGCGATGGTGCCAGGCACATCATCTCCCCTGGTTTCTTTCCCCACCTCAGAGTCAGCACCAGCAGCCCCACTACCCGTACCACACCTTCCTTTTCGTCGTATCTCACTCCCGAGCGCACCCAGTCTCGCGTTCCCTCAGCGACAGTCTGTCGTAAGCTTCGCCTCATTTGATTCACTTACAGAGGAACAAATCCCTGCGCACCAACACCGGCGGGCCAAGCGCAGGTCGCTGAACCCGGCTGGAAGGTCCCATAGACAGACACAAGCCGACGACGACAGGCAAGCAAAAAGGGCGAAAATTATCGCCGAGTTCTACGCAACTGAGAAATCTTACCTCGATGGCCTTGATCTTGTATACAATGTGAGTGCCTCTGCCGTTTCAGATCACCGGTCACTCACCTGTACTCGTATTCACTTGTAGCACTTCCTGACGCCTATCCTTCAATCACTGGATACACTCAAGCCACTGTTGACACGGAACGAGATAACAACACTCTTCTCAAATTTCATTGACATTTGGAACTTTCACCATACGTTCTTTGCTGCGCTGTCCGCACGACTTCATTCATCTACATCAACGTCCAGTCTAGCATCTCACACTATACCGCTTTCATCATTGCTCCTCGCGCACTTTCCATACCTGTCCCTATATACCCCATTCATTACGGCGTTTCCGACGTCACTTGCTTTTCTTACTTCGATCTCCCAGCCCTTCGCATCAAATCCTGCCTTCGCCGCCTTCCTACGAAACCAGGAGTCTCATTCCGCATGCGCACACCTAAGGTTGGCAGACTACCTTCTCACACCAGTACAGCGCTGTCCCCGATACCTTCTCCTACTCAAAGATTTACTGAATTCCACTGATCCCGAGGAGCCAGAATGGGAGAGGTTGCAGGAAGTTCAAGGTCTAGTCGAGAAAAGTAGGCTCACCTCCCCCTTGGTGTCTGATATATGTGGCTCGGCTGATTATCTGGATTCTGGACTGTAGTAACGACATCCCTCAACACCTCCCTTGCTGCCCATGCTCAAGCTCTGGAATTAATATCGCTCCAGCGCAATACTCGCGATCTCCCACCCACACTCACCCCCCTCGTCGCGCCGGGAAGGAAACTCCTCAAACGTGGAGTACTGATACGATCAGGCGGCGAAGACGGAGGAGGAAGAAAGACATTCGAGTTCTTATTACTGAGCGATTACCTTTTATGGCTCGAGCGCGAAGACAGTGGGATAGGTGTCCTCTCTCATGATGGAGCCCCGGGTCCACGGAAACGGAGAGCATCGATGAACGCGCTTGGTGGTGGTGATGAAGAAAAGTGGTGGTGTAGAGGCTGTATGGGTCTTGTTGATACGGAGGTAGTCATGGTTGTCGATCGGCCTGGTGGAGGCGAGGAGAGGCTGGAAGTGCTGAGCCCGGAGGGATCATTTGCCTTGCATCCTGGTAAGAACGATTTCTTCTATGCCACAATGTCGACATGCAGCGACTCTTGTGTATTTCTACCGGCTGCGCACTGTTCAGTCGCTGACACTATTTATCTCCCAGGTCCATCTTCATCCAGCGCGGAAGATGCCAATAGCCTCAGCTCTTGGATAGACGCAATCCGAACAGCACGCACAGCACGCCTCGCAGCACTCGCATTGTCCAACCCTGATTCAACGCTCTCAGCCAGTACTTCTGGTGTCCACCTCAGACGCGCCCTACGTGCATTTGCGAGTGAGGGAGACAATGGCGATGATACACAAGGGCTCGAAGAACACGGAGACGGGAATGAGATTGCCCTCGGAAATCAAGATTCGGGTTTCGCATTCAACAGGTCTCCTCGATTCCGTCCTCGTCGTCGTGCACAGTTAGACAACTTCCTTCCGCCGGTCTGGATCCCTGACGCAAAGACTGACGCGTGTATGAAATGTGGGCGACCGTTCGGGTTCGTTTTGGACCTGAGGCTGGGGGATGTTTTTGGGTGGGGGTTCGGAAAGGGTGGCAGAGGCGGAGGTGAAGGTAGGCAGAAGTCGGAGACACAGAGAGACGGTGATGAGAGGCACCAGGGAAGTGTTGAGAAACGGACAGGAGGCGGAGGGGCTTGGAGGAGGAAGCATCATTGCAGGCTCTGCGGACGTGTTGTTTGTGCAACATGTTCCGACAAGGTGAGTCCTTTTTTTCGTTTTCGTTTTCTTCACCAGTTCGCCACGTGGTAGTGCCCAACCCGGCAACACGAAACTTTCTTCTTCCCTCAATTTGGAAGCTGCTTACTGAGGAACTTTCAAAAGACCTTCTACATTGCCAGTACCGATGGTGACGCTTCGCCCGCCCATAACAAGCAGAAGCGAAAACCTGCCCGCGCATGTAACGAGTGTTATGATGCAGCGTTTCCCTTGATGTCGCCTTCCCCAGTCACACCCACAACTTTGCATCAATTATCTCCACTGTCCTCGGCCACTCGAGCTTCATCATCCACTCAAGCACCTTCGGATCCTCCATCCACCCCTCCCGCCGATGAAGACCCAGACACGATCCGCGGCATCTACCCGTGGCTCTCCATAACGTCGAGTGAAGGAACTGGAAAAGACGTGAGCGAGGCTCTGATGGCTATGGACCTGGGCACCGGAGCGATTGGGTTGAGTAGAAGCCCATCCAGGGCGGGACTGAGCGGAAGCCCTTCACGCATCGGACTGAGCAGTTCCGTGCTCAGTAGTAGCCCCTCCAGAAAATCACGCCTCAGCACGAGCCCTTCGAAGCTGAGCGGGTTGAGGGATGTTCAAGCCCAGAATGCACATACACAAGGCGCCTCAGGGAGTCCGAGTCCCTCGAAACGCATCGTGCATCTCCCTCGTATCTCTTCTTCTGGAGGTTCAGGCTCTACGCCGCCGCCATCGTCTTCGCTACTTGCACAGCAGCGGACCCATGGTCCGTTGAATGGAAGGACGAATGACGACGCTAGTCGGGACGATCAAGAATACATTCCGGTTCGGCCGATTAGGATACGGCCCTCACAAACGCGTCCACGGAGCTACCATGATATTCTAGAAGATTTCAGCCTGCACGAGCGGGGTCTCAGCATACCCTCTTCGGTTTCGAGCGCCCCCGGGGCTGCCTTGGGTCCGGTGCGAGAGGGAGAAGACGAAGATGGTAATGAAATGGGTGGTCACTCGGGAGAAGGGAGCCCCGCCTTTTATGGGCAGGACGACGGTGGTTCAGAGGAGAGCGAGGAGGTGACACTGCGCGGCCCGGCGGATGATGATGTGCCTCCGAGGGAAGATACGGCGCGACGGAAGAAGCGGTTCTCGTTCCCTGCTGTCGCGCTGCAAACTGCACCTGTCTTTGCGCGTGCACGCTCGGGGGAGGGGAGGCGCGTGGTGGATGCTGGAGATGTTGGCACGGAGGGGGGCAATGGCGCGAGGCGACGGTTCTCCCTCGTCCACGGAGGGGGCACTAAAGAGAACAGCAAGGAAGAGAGGGAGAACGAGAAGGATAGCTCGGCGGTAGGACTCCTGATAGAAGTGCTAAGGGGCAAGACCAGGTACCCCGGAAGAAAATAATACCTAGGCCAGTGACAAGCTACGACCACTTAGACCAGTGTCCGACGAACGGACTGGGTAATTGTATGAGTATACGCATGTATTGTATACCTGCTCTGATGTATTGTTGAGACCTTCCCAGAGTGTCCATGAGTTGGCCGCCTCCACGCTCCGGGGTACTGAAAACAGACCTGGAGCCGCGAGCGAAATGGGAGGGGTCTTCACGTACATAGTCTCCCTCAGATCCGACAGATCGTGAAGTCGAGGGAGTAGTCGTTCCTTCTGAGATGATATTACCATCCGCTGCACATTTGGTTTATCCGATTGTAGTGAAGCATAGGTATATGGTTTTACCCATCCTACAGCTTACAATCTGCTCCCTAAGCTGTTCATCATATCACCAAGCTGCCACCTTCTCTATCTGCCCCTCCAGCCGAGGTCCTTCATAAGATCATGAGTTTTGACGCAATTCCACCGAGAGATTTAGGGTGGGAGATGGGCGGCGCACCAAGTCAGACCGCAACTTGCAGATTGCACGTATATGGTTTTTATATGTTCTCGACACACTCGAAAATATGCGATATGTACTCGTACTCTTTATACCCGTCGTCGCTCCGTCACTTCGCGTGCTTCAGTGTTTCCCGCCGTTCCTAGAGCGGGTTTCCACGGGAACAAGGGACACACAAGACAGCAATCATACATCCTAATTAGACATTCAAAGCGCACTCTCCTGGTACTGACGTGTCGAGTTGTTGCTTCCCTTTCCCCTGCAAGTCCTGTCCCCCGTTCCCCTCAAATGCCTCTGCAGCGAATCATTCCGAGCGAAACTCGACTTACACCTTGCACAGTGAACTGTCTCCTTCATATGGACTGCGAGGATGTGACGCGCAATGCTTTCCTTGTGCATGGTTTTCCGACAACCCTTCCAGAGACACTTCTGTGGCTTCTTGGTATTGCCTTGAAGCGGGATGGCGTCCGCATCACGTAAATGCAGAGCTATTTCGCGCTTGTTGCCTGCAAGGAAAGTGCCACACGATGCACCATCATGGGACCACTGGCATTCATGCATCAGGGGATCTTCCGCAACACCGAGAGATGGTCTGTTCCATGGATCGGACGGAGTAGTCGCAGGTTGAGTGATGGAATGGGGTCTAAGATGTGGATGTGGGTTAATTTCGAGGTTATGTGGTGTCCCATTCCCGTCTGCGACGGTGATTTGCCTGGTGGAAACGGAGGAATCGGTCGACCGCGCAACTATGGG